GGATTTTCCAGCCGTACCTGGATCAGTTTGTGATTGTCTTCATTGACGTCATTTTGATTTACTCCAAGACGGAGAAGGAGCACGCTAAGCACTTGAAGATTGTGTTGCAAGTGCTGAAGGAGAAAAGGCTTTATGTTAAGCCTTCGAAATGTGAGTTTTGGCTCAAATCTGTAAAGTTTCTTGGCCATGTGATTTCTACAGAAGGAGTTGCAGTTGACCCGAACAAGATTGAGGTCGTGCTAGATTTGGAGAGGCCCAAGACGGTAACCGAAGTGAGGAGTTTTCTGGGTTTGACAGGGTATTAGCGGAGGTTCATCAAGGGATTTTCCATGCTGGTTCTGCCATTGACTCGCCTTACCCGCAAGGAGACTCCATTTGTGTGGACTCACGAGTGTGAAGAATATTTCCAGGAGTTGAAGGAGAGACTGACTACTGCACCTGTGTTGGTCCTTCCTGATCCTGCTGAGGAAGTTGAGTTGTACATCGACGCTTCCGGAAAGGGGCTCGGATGTGTGTTGATGCAGTTGGGCAAAGTGATTGCCTATGCTTCGAGACAGTTGAAGCCTCATGAAGAGAACTACCTGACTCATGATTTGGAGTTGGCTGCTATCGTTTTTGCTTTAAGATTTGGAGGCACTACCTGTTTGGGATGAAGTTTGCGGTGTTCAGTGATCACAAGAGCTTAAAGTATTTGTTTGATCAGAAAGAGCTGAACATGAGGCAGAGAAGATGGATGGAGTATCTGAAGGACTACGACTTTGAGTTGAAGTACCATCCTGGCAAGGCCAATGTGGTAGCTGATGCTTTGAGTCGGAAATCCGTGAGCCTGTCCAGTTTGACCATGGGAGATTATGACATCATTGAGCAGTTTCGAGATTTGACAGTGACTTCCTTGTTTGGGGGTGCACTTCTTGAAATGGAAACCGTGCAAGTAGAGAACGAGCTCATGGAAAAGATCAAGGAGGCGCAAGTGCAGAGAAAGTGCCTGGATTATGTGAAGAACCAGGACGGAGTGTCTTGGAATGAGGATGGGTTGTTGACCTTTCAGAAGAGGATTGTGGTTCCTCGAGGTCCGTTGACTGTTGAGGTGATGACAGAGGCTCATAAGGGTCAGTTTACTGTCCACCCTGGTGCTACCAATATGTATCAGGACTTGAAGAGAAACTATTGGTGGTCGGGCATGAAGAAGGACATAGTTGTTTTTGTGTCCAAGTGCTTAGTTTGCCAGAAGGTGAAGATAGAACACTAGAAGCCGTCTGGTAAACTACAACCTCTTGAGATTCCGGAATGGAAATGGGATAGCATTTCCATGGACTTCGTGGTGGGATTGTCGAAGACTCAGGCTGGTTATGACTCTATCTGGGTCATTGTGGACAGATTGACGAAGTCTGCCCATTTTCTTCCAGTGAAGGTGAGCTTCACTACTGAGCAGTTGGCAAAACTTTATGTTCGCGAGATTGTGAGGCTTCATGGGGTGCCCGAGAGTATCATCAGTGATAGGGACCCGAAGTTCACATCTCGGTTCTGGGAGGCGCTGCAGGGGGCTTTCGGTACGCAGCTGAGATTGAGTACCGCCTATCACCCTTAGACTGATAAAAAGACTGAGCGGACCATCCAGACATTTGAGGACATGTTGAGGGCTTGCACCTTGGAGCAGGGTTCAACATGAGATAGGTACCTGCCATTGGTTGAGTTTTCGTATAACAACAGTTTCCATGCTAGCCTGGACATGGCATCCTACGAGGCGTTGTATGGTAGGAGGTGTCGGACTCCTACCTGTTGGTCTGAGGTTGGAGATAGAGAGTTGTCTGGCTTGGACTTTGTCCAAGATACTTCCCAACAGATTCAGATGATCAGAGAGAAGCTGAAGAAGGCGCAGAATCGCCAGAAGAGCTATTATGATGTTAAGCATCAATCACTGGAATTCAGTGAGGGTAAGCACGTGTTTGTGAGACTTTCACCTGTCACCGGTGTTGGTCGGGCACTCGGAGTGAGGAAGCTGAGCCCACGGTTTATTGGGCCATACTAGATTCTTGGTAGAGTAGGACATGTTGCCTATTGCCTAGCCTCCGAACTTGGCCAACATCCACGACGTGTTCCACGTGTCTCAGCTTCGGAAGTACGTAGCAGATCATTCGCACGTGGTGCAACCGGACGATGTGGAGGTTCGGGAGAACCTAAAGACTCCCGTCGGACCACTCAAAATTCTTGATCGAGGCAAGAAACAGCTTAGGAGCAAGATCATTCTGATGGTCAAGGTGCAATGGACAGGAAGAACTACTGAGGAGTGTACCTGAGAGCGAGAGGATGAGCTTCTCCGGCAATATCCCGATTTCCAAGACATGTATATTCTCATTTTGAGGACAAAATCCTTAAAAAGGTGGGGGTGAATGTAAGAACCTGCACCGTTAAGTAAGGAAATTAATTAATTAATCATGTGAAATTAAGAAATAATTCCGTAATTGACCCTAATAATTATTATGAGGCTTAAATAATTATAGTAAGTGGGTAATAATGCTGAAAGTCGTTTTTCGGACGAAAAGCGCAGATACCTGTTCTGCTACTCGGTATAAATGCGTACCGACAAAGTATCCCAGAAAATTATAATAAGTGCATGAATATTCCTAGAATAATATATAGGATTGTGATTTCAAGTTTCAAGTTAAAATAATGAGAACTGGTGCCAGAAACTGATACTGGCTATGAAAAGCGCGTATCGAAAAAGTGTTGCGAAAAATATAAGAAAAATATGTTAATTCTTGTAAAATTGAGTAGGTTAAGAATCCTAAGTTTGGGATTAAAATGCTAAGCGTAGCTATTTTTGCTAATACAGTGTGGTTTGAGTTAATGAGGCTATATATAGGTCTTGTGCTGTTGCCATCCTCCATTCCACTGTTCCATTGCTTCCTCATCCTTTTGATGTGCATTATGAACTCTTATCCTCCATTTCTCTTCACTAGATACCTTGTGTGAGTGGGAGAGATCTTATTGAGTGTGAAATGAGACCTTTTCTGGGTATACCAGCTGCTGTGTGAGGAGGTTTTATGCTGAGTTTTGAGTGTTTGGGTGGGTGAAGCCATTGTCATGGCATTTTTGGCTCCAAGGAGCTAACTTGGTGAAGAAAGGACCTTGCTTGATTTGTATTTTCGTGGCTCTTTTGTGTCTGAATCCTTGAGCCTTGTTGTAAGCTCCAAGGAGGAGCCTTGTTTCTGAATTTTCGGAGTTGAGGTATACCATGAGCTTAACCTTTGCCTTTTTGACGTCTAAGCTTGTTTAATCCATTAAAAAGAGGAACTTTAACCATTTGAGTAAAAGAATGTGTTTTTGGGTTCATAACATGTTGGTGGTTATCTGTTTAGGGAGTCATTGGACTCCTAATCGCTTTTGGATCCTTAAATTTGGCATTATGCAGAAGTTGGCTCGAATTTCTGCATTCTGTTGGAGAAGTATTCGAATACTTTCCGTGTAGTATTCGAATATTTGTCCTCGGTAATCGAATACTCCTTGCAGGAGTATTGGAATACTTTTTTGGGAAGAAAAGTATTCGGATACCTTTGAAGAAGTATTCGAATACTAGAAGGTATTCGAATACAGTGAGGTTTGGTATTCAGATACTGAGGTATTCAGATACTGGGGGGAAAAGTAGTCGGATACTTTTGAGTATTCGAATACTTTAGTGAAAGTAATCGAATACTTTCTGGAGAGCTGGAGTATTCGAATACTACTCGTGAAGTATTCGAATACTTCCTGCAGAAACAACATTTAATGAGTTAAAATGAGTATGAAAGACTTAATCACTTAATGTAATATGAGCTATGATTATTGATGAGTAATTATGGTATGGGCAGGTTATGATTGTGCTGTTTGTGGGTCTTGAGCTGTGTGGACTCTTGGTTTGGATAACTAGCTTACAAGGTGAGCTTTCGTGTCCTCAGTTTAACCATTGTTTGTTCCACCATGTCCCATGGGGGGATGGTTATATGCATGATAGACTTAATCACTTAATGTAATATGAGCTATGATTTTTGTCTGTTTTGACTATTTAATCGATTATATATTCAAGTTAATCGACTAAAGAGGGACAAATTTGTAGATAGTTTTGAATAAAGGGCAAAATGATCATTAATTAATTAATGAGGGGAAAAAAGATCAAAAAGCCCATGAGGGAGTAACTAAGTATTAATAATATATTATTATTGTTCGGTCTTAAAGAATCATAAAACTATATAATATGGTATGCACTCAGAAATATCTTAGAGATAGATATTCTTATTGGCTCGTAGCCAATACTCTAATCACTACTTAGAAACAATAAGTTTATAGCCAAGACGCGTGTGTATGCACAGTATTAGCAATAATAGTAAATAGGTCAAACGGTATGTACCTAAAGTCTTTAACCTTTTATTTATAGATGTTACCTATTGAGCTTGAGCTGTCAAGATCTCCTAGTTGGTGTGAGATTCCACCTTTAACTTGTTGGGATAAAGATCTTATTCTTTTATTCTTGTCATAATCCCGGAAGGGATATGCAGTTAAGATATAAATCTATTCAATAACAATTATTATCATAAATATTATTTTATACATATAATAATAAGAAAATTAAAATTTACGAAATGCGTAGGTAATTACTTGTCCCTTTGATCGGTCCACCCGTGATTCAATGCCTTAGAAGTTAGGAGATTTTTTTTTGAGCTATTCAAAATAAAAAATAAAATGATATTTTATACATAGCAAAGAAATATGTAAATTTAAAATTAAAAATAATAACGAATCGTGAAATAATGAAAATAATTTTTTCCTTTTTACGGGGACACAACACACCGCCGTTGGAGAGAGAAATTTCTAGGGTTTTGTTGCGCCTATATAAATTGGTATGTAACATCTGTTTCTCCATGCTTCATTTTCCAGGGTTTGGCAATGGCCGCTCCTGATTTCCACTGTTATCACCAAAATTTGTAATTTAGTTTCAGATTTTGCTTTAATTTAGGTTAAATTATCTGCACGATGCACCCCGGGCTTCTCTGAGATAACCTATGACGCGAAAGCCCCATTGCACGTGCTAGATCGCCGCCGTTCGTGTTGCAGTTCAGCCCCTTTTTCCTTCACGGCTGATCTGTGTCAAAGCAACGGCAAAATCCCATTTTACCTCTTTTTCGATTGTGTTTGTGTTTTTCGCTTTCGTGTGTGGAATTTGCCTCACTACACCTTTAGCTTGCTTTCAAACATATGCCATGAAAATGAAGCTAGTCATAGAGGCGCAAACTTAATCGGCGGTTTTCACGTGGGGGTGTTAACATTTCAATGTTTGTGCCTCTAAAAAAATCCGCTATATGATGGTTTCAATCTTAAAAGTTTTGATTTTTTTTTTAAGGTTTTGCACCCTCAATTATTGGCGATGATTACATATTATCCGCGCTTCTGAGTTTTCTCGATGAAGTACAAAGGATAAAAATTGGTTGAATTTCTTGATATGAGCCAAATTTTGATTCGTTATTCTTTATTTTTAAAATTTAATTTTGGTTTTACAATTCAGATTTATTTCAGTTTTTAGTGTAATAGTTGGCTGTGATGATATTCATTCAGCTTTAATGCCAGTTCTGCTTCTGAAAAATCATGATTGATAGAGCTGTAATATATTCTGAGCCCTCTTATCTTTGATGTACTTTTATTATTCGCTCCTTGATTGTAAAATGTTTTATCTTCTGATAATATAAACTATGTTAATTTGGTTGTTTGACATTGTCTGCGGTGGCTATTTACTTTCTTGATTTTTGTATCATAGAAGTTTTATTATTATTTTTGTTCTCAAAACCTTATATCTTTTTTCATCTAAGTTTGATTTTACTTATGAAATTATGTTGTTCTCCACCGATGATGGTACAATCCAACTTGTTTGAGGTTGTAGTTTACCCAAGTCCCTGTTTTCAGGATGAACCTACTTGGTGTTGCTACATTTCCAATGACAGCAAAGATTGAACTGAGGTTCCTTACTATTATAATTTGTGTTCTGCACTTTTGAATTCAGTCATTGTGGTAATGAACTATTTGTTTTTAATCTTATGTTTGTACTGAGTTTAACTATACTCTTTTCCTTTTTAATTGGATCAGAGTCTGAAAAAACTCGAAAATTGTGTGTTGTCTATCAGCTTCATCTCTTGTTTAACCCACGAGACTGGAGTTAAATAACAGCACGACATTTTATTGGACCTATCGGATCTTAGGATTTTGATTACGAGCTCCTGGCATAGTTTATGTATATTGCAAATTTCTACTATTGTGCAGTTGCTTGAGATAAAGATGTAACTCTGAATATCAATTCACATTGGTTGAATGCAGTAGTCTTAATATTGCCCTGAAGCTATAGCTCAGAAAACTCGTGTTCCTATAAATAAATACCATTAACAAAGAAATTTTAATTGTATACCTTGACTTGATAAGGGTGTGTTTGATATAGGATATTTCTTAATATACATTGATAAACGTAAATTGCCATGTTTTGTTTAAGTTAACAAAATCATTTTCCTGGATTACCATAAATTATATGGTATTTGTGAATCCAACATCAAGGAAAAGCATCAAAAAGAAAATGTGAGACAAATATCCAACTCACATCAAAATCTAGGTTTACCAGTAATATATTACTGGTAATATATTTGAAGTTAATTTTATTTTTATAAAATCATTATATATTATCAGTAATATTTTACTGTTAATTAAATATATGCTCAGTAAAATTATTAAATATTTCTAGTAATATTTACATTTATCAAATATTTTTTTATATCATTCTGGATAAACTGAATTTCTCGTTATATTACTGAAAATTATGAGTCCCTGACATAATCCTAAAAGTAAAACCACTAGTGATGGATTAAATTGTTGAATGAAGAACACGAGCATATTTTAAGTTCCACAAACCTTATAATGAGATGAGTGAGAATAATTACAAGCACTAATCAAATTTGAAAAAATAAGATGATTGTGGAAATAATTATAAAGGTGTGAATACCGTAAATAGATGAATTTTTGTCATATTTAATAAATGGTTATTGTAATGTACCGAGTGCTTGGTCATGAACTGAATATATTTTCATGATCATATACTCTTGGAAACAACATGAAAGAAGGCCAATAAAAATATTTTGAATCCTATAAATTACACTCATGCAAAATGAGAAATATTGACTACCATGGCATCTCGAATGACAGACCATCAGCTTTTAGCAATCTGTTTGTGGACATATAACATTACATATTGAACTGAATCAGAAGTATATGGTTTGTAACTGTTTCGCTAATGGATAGAACATGCTGATATAAAGATGACGGAGGGGGCAATGATATAGATCAAAACAGGCAAGTTGAGGGTGCTGAGGGTTGTACTTGTATGGGCTAGAGCTATGACTATGAGGTGAATTTTGCATAGTAACATTATGGGAGAATTGAGTGTAGAAGATGAGGCAAGTTGGAGGTAGAGTATGTTGATCTAAAGCAGATGGAGGGGGCAATTATAATAGTAGATCAAAACATGCAAGTTGAGGGTGCTAAGGGTTGTATGGGCTAGAGCTATGGCTATGAGGTGAATTCTGCATAGTTATACTATGGGAGAACTGAGTGTAGAAGATGAATAGTAAAGGAGTTATGGCTCTTTATACACGTATCACGTGTTAAGTGGATACGTGTATTGGAGAGTCATACTATTAAAAATAAACTTGAATTTCTAATAGTAAGTAACTTAGAATGTATACATGAGCCATATTATGTAACAAAATCTTAGTATTCTAATTTTACGTAGATTTCAGATGTAGGTACTGAGGCCCAGAATTTAAACAGGTTGGAAGAACAAGTTTTACACACAAGAGAATGCAAGAGGTCCAAACAGTGCGAACCTAGAACTTGATTCAGCCTTTGGCAGCTTTCTATTTGATTAGGGCATCTTCTAATGTCTAGTTTTTTTATGGGATACCCGAAGCCTATATAACTTGGTTGTTTGTTTTTCACTCTGGGCTGTTCGCATACTTTCATGAGATCATTGCATGTCATTAAAAGAATAATAATTTTAATAATAAAAGAAGGAAGATATGAGTATTTATCAATAAAAGAGGAGGATTACTTTTCTCATTAGGAGAAAATTTCTATCTCCTACTAACACAAATAAAATGGGACATATTATTTGCACTGAATACAACATGAGAAAGTAATCTCATGTAATATGAGAATATGATTTCTCATAAAAGGGAATACATTTATTATGTTGTAGGAGATAATTTTATTTCATGCAACAAAAAGAAGAAGATGAGATCCACTAAAGAAAAGAGAGAAAAAAATGGATCCTTTCTGCTTTTTTGGTGTGTATGAGACAATTTTGTTTCATGTCACATGAGAGAAATATTTTTCATAAAAGAATTTCCAATATGTTTTTAAATCATAAATTGTTATTGTTTTGGTCGACCTCCGTAGGCCCAATAAGTTGAGCTCAAAACCAAAGTTCAATATTAGAATCTTCTAGATGACACTCCATGGTGAGCAATAGAGCCTCACCATACAGAATCTCTCTACTTGCACATCTCACCATGTTAAACACACTATGGGAGTAGATGGCTCACAATAATAGTGGAGGCAAGGCTAACAGTTTGACTAAGTTCCCCCCTCATTATTAGGGAATATTCATTCCTATATATAAACCTATCTTCTCCCATTGAAGAGGCACTTGATTTCTTACTGAGTTGTTGAGATTTAGAGCCACCTTAGCTGATACACACTACCTCCCCTTTTGCAGCTACTTATGCATTGCACTCCAGTGACTCTCCTTGAGCTTTGGTTCATACAAATGTTACTTTGAGCATTGTCATATTGACATAGTATACCTTTTGGGAGATATAGACTTGGTTCTAAATCTACAATAGTTCATTAGCGCCGTATGTGGGAATCAATAAACTCTGATTCCCATTTCTCCAGTGAAAAGCTCAAAAAACCCAACCAACTTTCCCTTTATCCTAATGCATAAAGTTCATTACAAAAAATACAATTTAAAGACGAATAAATTGATCGGTCATAGCGAGCAGAGAAAGCTTACTACAACCAAAGGCAGGAAACCATCTGGTTCTCCTTTGTATCCACCTACTATACACTTTATCTACCAGATGGTCGGCTTAAGTTCCTATACACCTTGGAACCCTGACTTCACAAGCTACCAAGTTAAGAGACTTCTGTTTTTATCGACCTCCACAGGCCCAACAGGCTGGGCCCAATACCAAAGGTCCAAGATTGGAACCTTCTAAATGACACTCCATAGTGAGCCATAAAGCCTCACTATAGAGAATCTCTCTCTTCCTGCATAGCTCACCATCGTACACACACGATGTAGCAGACGCCTCACAACAATAGAGGAGGTAATGCTAACGGTTTGGCTCAATTTTTTTTCCCTCTCTCTCATCATTAGAGAATATTATTCCCTTATATAAACCCCTCTTCTCTCATTAAAGAGACTTGATTTCTTACACTTTGCTAAGATTTAGAGTCACCTAAGCCGATACACACCAATCTCCTTTGTAGCTACTTTTGCATTGCACTCCAGTTACTCCCCTTGAGCTTGGGTTCCTACCACTACTACTTTGAGCACGGTCATATTGACATATTATACCCTTTGATTTGGGGGATACATCCTTAGGTTTAAATCTACAACAATTCAATTGTTTTAAAGATAGTATAAAAAAATTATCCCAAAAAATAAAAAAAGAGAGTTTAAAAATAGGCTAATAATTTTCTGATGTAGTAGGAAATAACTATTATCTCCAACACTCATTTGTGCTAGTGGAATTCACTTTCAGGGGGAGAGAGAAAAAAATGTGAGATCCATTGAATTTGTATGTGTAGGAGATAGATTCTTTCTTATGTAATATAAGAATAATAAATTTCTTAAAAATATTAAATAAAAGATTGGAACGAAGATCATTATATTCTTACTTCCATTGTTTTTATTTTTATTTTATCGACCATTTCATCCGTCAAAATATCAAATATATTAAGTCTTCGTTTTTCTTTGTAACTTTTTTATGTGGTGAAACCTGTTATTTGTTATTCGATGGGATTACACGGTTCGCTCAGAAACTATAGTACAAAAGAAGAATTTTTTTTGTTATTTAAGGTGGGTAACTATATAGAGATGGTGGTCCATATGATTTGATTTGAGGAATTCTTCCGTTTTTGTTGTTGTTGGAATCTTTGAACTACCGTCATTTCAAAAATATTGACGTGTGTCCGATACTTTTCGACACTCTCCGACACTCCAAAACGTGTTGTAGAGACTCAAAACACGGTTCAAAAGATGTGTTGCGTTGCGTTTTTAGCTCTAACTATTAGATTTATTGGATTATGATTACTATTTTATTGAGTTTAATATAAATATTTGGATTATCTTATGTTTCTTTGCAAGATTGATGATTATTATAAGTTTAACTTCATTTTTTTTTGTTAAGTTATTGAAGATTAAATATAATATACACTACATAAATTAAAAATATTATTTAATATCAAAACGTGTCGTAACGTGTCGAAATATAATATTTTTTAAAATTAACGTGTCAGAGTGTTATATTGTGTTATGTCTCATATCGATATCGACCCTATTGAAACTTAGGGAGGAAGATATTTTGCCAATGTGAAAGTGTCAACTACTTTTAGGACACGATAGATTCTCATTGCGACATGTATGAATTTGTCTAAGTCAATATTATAACAAAAAATAAAATTTTTTATTTGTTTATACTAAAACAAACCATTATTTTTAGGGAAAAACATCTATCCTTTTAAAGGATATAAGTTTATATCCTTTTAGATTTTAACTGTTGATTTCCGTCCATCAACGGTTATAATCTATTGGGCTAAACTTAATGGGCCAAATTTATTATTAATTAACTAATAATTTTAATCGAATAAATTATAACCGTTGATGGATGAAAATCAACGGTTAAGATCTAAAAGGATATAAATTTATATCCTTTAAAAGGATAGATGTTATTCCTTTTTTTTAATCCCGTTCTCTTTTACAGTTCCACGTAATGCTACAACCTTAAATTAATAAGCCTAATCATATCCTTAACTGACGCAGTGATATATTTCTATATCCTAAACTAATACTTCCATGCAATTGTCCACACTGAATTCGGATACTATAACCAATATTAAACTCGATTTGATCTTTTTTTTTTTCTTTTGTTGGTATAAACTACATATATCCTCTTCGGGAGACAATTTTATTTGGGACGAGTTTATGATTAAAATTTTAAATTCCTCTCAAAAATGATATTTAGGAGGATCAAATATATATTCTTACCTCTACATGTTCAGCTCTCATACGTCAAATTATCATAATTTGATACTCAACTTGATCTTTAACTATGCGTGTGTCCACTTGCCACAACAATGCTTCATTTCATAAATAAGCATTATATACAAAAATCACCATACTTTGTCATTATTATTTTAACTGATTATCACACTTAATTCTAAAATAAAAATAAAATAAAATAAAATAAAAAGAGTATTAAGTGATATAAATTTATTCGTATATTTTCATTTAATAACTTAAATATTTAAGAGAGTCGGTTGTTTGACATGTTATTATAAAAAATTAATAAGGTATTTAAGTTAAAAGAAAAACCTATACAATAAAGACTATAGATATCTGAAAAGTGTGGGATGATTTCATAAAAAAAAAATAACTAAAATATAATATGACAATTTTTTTTTTTTAAATCAAATTTAAAATCGTTGGCACATTAATAGTGAGTAATTGTCCACGTGTCAGGTAGATAACTGGGCCCGAGGCTGCAATAACAGAAATTCATAGCTCAGAAGTTGAAGCTTCTTCCGTTACCAACTCTTCACCTGTGATTCTGTGCAGTCTCATCAATGAAGATTACTTCCTTCTTCACCAAGGCTTTCCACAGCTTCCCTTCATGCTCCAAGCTTGTGCTTCTATGCGCTCTCAGGTTTATTTTTTATTTTTTTTCATCCATATCTGTTTTCTATATTCGTCTTTTATTTCCCATATCTGCTCTTGATTCCAAAGAAATGGGAATCTTTGTACAATTCTTTACATGATATCTGCCTTAGGGTTTGAGTGAAAGGCATTGTTGGTAGGTAGAGGCCATCATTCCGGTGCAAGTCAGAGTCTGATCGAATCATGACACTTTAGTTGATAAGGATAAGTTGAAAGAGTTATTCCCTGACCAACTGTCATAGATTTTTTATACCAAAAAAATTGTCATAGATTTTGATCTAATGATAAGCGCTCGATCCAAGAATGACATAAGTGTTTGTGATGATAAAGATGCAGCAGGATATATAATTATAATTGTTGATGTGAAGAATTATTATTGTAAAGATTAGATAGAAAATCATCTAGAGAGAGAAAACCCTTGAGTGAATGTAGGTAGGTTAGTAGAACATTATGTCTGACTACGGCGATTGCAGAGATGGAACAATCATGGTATCTATGTAATACATCCATAAATGTCTTTCTTGCTTCTTGCATGCAGCTTATGTTGTATTTGATAGTTTTAAGGTAACAAAATTTTCTGTTTTATTGAGTCTACCTTTGCAAAAAAACCTGCAGTGGTGGAGGTGTGGTGTCATACTCAGAATTACAATCAGATACTGAACCTCCTAGTATTGATCCTTATGAGCCCAAGAAAAAGAAAATGGTGGTTCTTGGAACAGGATGGGCTGGTATCAGTTTTCTAAAGGATCTGGATGCTTCCCTATATGATGTTCAGGTTGTTTCTCCTCGTAACTACTTTGCATTCACTCCCTTATTACCCAGTGTCACTTGTGGGACTGTTGAAGCACGGAGCATTGTAGAGCCAGTCCGAAACATCATAAAAAAGGTAGAGAAAACAAAGCAAAAACTATAAGAATAACTATGTGTATGTGATTTTTTTTTAATAACAATCATCACATATGTGGATGTAATTAATGTGATGAGAAATCTAATGGAGCTATTATTTTTTCTTTGAGGTCAACTTATAAAATAGGATTGCTAGAGTCATGACCTTGTTGTGTCTTGACATTGTTGTCATCACTCCTTTTATTTTTAATCTTTTCCGAGGATACTTTACCTAGATAATTAATAATAAAGTTCTGTTGCTTCATTCTTATTGTAGAGAAAAGGAGAAATTAAATTTTGGGAGGCAGAATGCCTGAAGATTGATTATGCAAACAAAAAGGTTTTATGTAGGTCCAATATTGACAACAACTTAGTGGGAAGTGGCGAATTTTCTTTGGACTATGACTTCTTGGTTGTAGCAATTGGAGCACAAGTAAATACTTTTAACACCCCTGGTGTCACGGAGAATTGTCATTTTCTGAAGGTATATTTTTGTTTTGTGTACAACATGTAGTGTATTATCATCCAATGATTAAAAAACTTTCGGCTTGTTTTGATTTGTGGTTAATTAGGTGATTCATTTAATATTTGAAGTTCTAATGAGTAAAACTTATTATTAGGCTTTCAGAACCTGTAACACCTTCCATAATTAATTTATAGAGTATGTCACATTTCTTATTTTCCTCCTTAATATATTTTACGCAATAAAAATTATTAAAAGTAGTCTAAGGATTAATTACTTCACATAACAAGACATAGTCATAAACAATTGCGGCCACAAAGATTACATATATAGGTTGTCAAAAAATTACAGTTAAATTAGTGGCTCACAAGTCCAAAGTCATCAGTACTATATAAAGTAAAGGACTTTCATACTCCTACATCAATATTTACACTCAAAAGCATGATGAGAGTAGAAATCCTATAAAAGATATCTACAACTATATAGCTAAGTAAACATCTAGAGGCATAGATGTCCCTCCACGTGGTCTTCGTATATCAAGATCAACATCTCCTAACCCGGTCCACACAAATACACCCAATCCATGTGTACTAATCTGGAAATGTTATAGTACAAAAATGCTCAAAATTACTGAGAATATTTCTCACATGTGTATTTTTTTTTTGTCTAACATTTCCAGATTAGTATACATGGATTGGGTGTATTTGTGTGGACCGGGTTAGGAGATGCTGATCTTGATCTACGAAGACCACACAAAGGCACATCCATGCCTCTACATGTTTACTTAGCTATGTAGTTGTAGACACCTTTTGTAAGATTTCTACTCCCATCGTCATTTTGAGTGTAAATATTGATGTAAGAGTATAAAAATCTCTTACTTTATATAGTATTGATGACTTTGGGCCTGCAAGCCACTGATTTAACAGTAGTTTTTTGACAACCTATATATGTCATCTTTGTGGACACAGTTGTTTATGACTATATCTTGTTATGTGAAGCAATTAATCCTTAGACTACTTTTAATAATTTTTATTGCATAAAATATTTTAAGGAGGAAAATAAGAAATGTGACAGTATATAAATTAATTATGGAAGGTGTTACAGAACCACTAATAAAAAAAAAATGTACTATCATCACTTGCAGGAGGTAGAGGATGCTCAGAAGATCAGAATGTCTGTGATAGATTGCTTTGAGAAAGCTGTTCTTCCATCTCTATCTGAAGAAGAACGACGGACCAACCTGCATTTTATAGTTGTGGGAGGAGGTCCAACTGGTGTGGAATTTGCTGCTGAGCTTCATGACTATGTCCAAGAAGATTTAGTCAAATTGTACCCATCTGTCAAAGATATGGTGAAGATAACAGTGATTCAATCGGGAGATCACATCTTGAACACGTAAGGAAAGCATTAACGTCAGTCTCAATTGTTTTCTAATACTTTGAAACATAAACATTGAAGCTGGTTTTCTGTGGATACTCATACTAGCGCTGCTTCCACTGTCATTATCTTTCGCAATATATGTTACTTTATGCATGCCGCACCTGAAAGTAACTAAGTAATGGAGGCCTAGAACAGCATTTTGAACTTTTCAATGCCATAAAAAAGACAATCTAGGTTACGAACTAAATCATTCTTAAATAGTGGGATATTTTTGTATAATGGTTTCTGTTGTACAATTCTAATATTTGCAGCCATTAGGGTCTAGGGTCTTTTTGATCAGCTTAGGTCTGTTTTGCTCGTGTTGAAATGTTATAGCATCATAAATCACCCAGGTTTATCAAACAAATATATTTTATCTTTCAAATGGGTGTTTTTTATTCGGAAAGGACTGATATGGTCATAGTTTCCCTGTACCTTTTTTCCAAGTTTGGGTGATTGAAACCTGAAGGGTGTGAGCACAGCTGTTACTACTATGTACCTGGACCTCTTTTAACACAGTTTTAGTAGCTTTGATGAAAAGACTGTATTAGCTAATTGGTGGAAACTTATAACTTAGGGTCATTACCCTTTTTCCCAGCAATTTGGGTTTCTTCTGTTGTTTATGAATTATACTGACTGTTAGGAATCTTTACACACAGAGGGTCAGCCACCATTTGCATTTTTTCTTTAATTGTTGGTATTGCTAATTTAGCAAAATAAGACCAAACATTGAGCAAGTTCAACTAGCTTTTTAAATCTTATATATTTCTACTACACAGGCTATAAAATGTCAACTTGGATAAAATGTCATCTTCAATCTTGTAGATTTGATGAAAGAATTAGTTCATTTGCCGAGCAAAAGTTTGGAAGAGATGGTATAGAAGTTCAAACAGGATGTCGAGTTGTCAATGTTAGTGACAAGGAAATCACAGTAAAGGTGAAATCAACGGGAGAGTTTTGCTCTGTACCCCATGGATTGGTTGTCTGGTCCACTGGAATTGCAACTCGTCCAGTTGTGAGGGACTTCATGGAACAAATCGGTCAGGTGTTGCTTAACTCTATGCACTTTTGAAATACAGTTTTCTCCCCTTTGGTCCTTCACTTCTTTTGTGTGCATTTCTTTTTGGTGGGGAAGGGGGGATAATCCTATGTCAGAGCAAATGTTTATCTACTGGTTTTCTCTTGGTTATGCTTCTGTTCTCTTGGCTTAAATAATCTTTATAACCTAGGATTGCTCTATGTGCAGGCTAAAAGGCATGTCCTAGCAACAGATGAATGGTTGCGAGTGAAGGGATGTAAATCTGTGTATGCTATTGGTGATTGTTCTTCAATAAATCAACGTAAAATCATGGTATCTCTTAAGCCATTAACAGGTTTTCTAGACTTAGGTCTTATTGTAAGCAAAATGCTGCTACATTCTTATCCAAATTATTTGACAATCTTGATCTTGGGTTTGATGAACAAATTAAGCTTCTTGTTCCTGTGTTTAAATTATTTTCTGATAAATTCCATAAAGATATTACATGCACTAACTAAACTGCTATAATTTTCTTGTACAGATGGAAGTGGTGAATTTATGAGACTTTCTTTAGACAGTGCATACAAATCATGATTTTAAAAGTCAACTATATCCTAATTAACTCATTTACCTCTGTAGGATGATATCTCGGCCATTTTTGAAGCTGCAGACAAAGACAACTCTGGTACCTTAACTGTTGAAGAATTCGAGGATGTGATGGATGACATCATCTTAACATATCCACAAGTCGAACTCTATATAAAGAGCCAACATCTGCTTGATTTGACAGTTCTGTGGAAAGATTCCCAAGGAAATGATAGAAAAGAAATAGACATAGAAGGGCTTAAGCTGGCCCTTTGTCAAGTGGATTCACAGATGAAGAGTCTTCCAGCAACTGCACAGGTATGCATCAATTCACCAGTAACTGAAAGCTTGCTCACGCAGATTCCTTTGTAGAATTGTTGTCAAATATATTATGCATGGGGAGTAAGTTTTTAATGTATTGGTGTATCTTAGGTTGCTTCCCAACAGGGTGCATATCTGGCTAGATGCTTTAATCGCATGGATCAATGTGCAGAGCATCCTGAAGGTCCTCAACGATTTGGAGGATCTGGACATCATAAGTTTCGTCCTTTCCGGTAAACCATATTGTATATAATAAGCATATGTATAATGTCAACTATATATATGATATATTATCTTCATAAAACTTAAATTTTTCGTGAATTTTGTGGAAACTGCTAAAATAAAGAAAGGTTTTAGATTGAAGTTTTACGCCATACCATCCACATAGAAGATTTTTTTTCCCCCTACACATTCCTTTGATGAGATACTGACTTAAAATTTTGTCACAGTTGTCTCAAATCAGACATATTGGCTATTGGTAAATAAAAGAAATGTGATTTTTTTGGCTTAATGAACTGTAAAAAAATAGATAAATTCTTGACCAATTCAGAGAGAACTGTCTCTTAATTGAGCAAAACTAAGAGTATAATGATTTTGGGCCATTCTTCCTCGGGTTCAATATACATTTTGTGATTAAAGCAACCAAAAAGTTAGGGCATCATTCATAATTGGTGTGATCCAAAACTAAACCCTAATATTTATGAGCATTGAAAATGTTTACTGTTGAAAAGATGTTGAGAGCCGTTATGGATTAGCTTTTGCTTTAATCAAGGACAGAATAAAATGATGAATGTGGTGTTTATATTTTTTTATGGCATTTACTTGCTTAGTCCCTACTAATAACTGAAATTTTGGTTGCTTATCAATTATCATCATCAAGGTATAAGCATTTTGGGCAATTTGCTCCCCTGGGTGGGGAGCAGGCAGCCGCAGAACTTCCTGGAGACTGGGTTTCTATGGGTCAGAGCACTCAATGGCTTTGGTATTCTGTATATGCAAGGTAATGACTAATGATCATGTTAGTTCACATAATTGGAAACTAATATCTGTATATAATGCCTCCTTTAATATTGTTGTCTTACATTCAGCAAGCAAGTGAGCTGGCGCACAAGGGTGTTGGTCATATCAGATTGGACAAGAAGATTCATATTTGGGAGAGATTCTAGTCGTATTTAAGTCCACAAAATTAAACTACAATTGAATTATTTTGAGGTGCACCTTTTCTCTGGTATTTCTTGTACCTATTGTCCATTATGTAGTCTATGGATATTTTGAATGTACAACTCATTGCTCCTCCCTCATCTCTTGGATAAGCGTGCTTCCTTTATATCTACCATTTTCCAGCAATGTACTTGGATGGATTACCATTTACCCTATGATTTCTAGTGAAAACTTAAAGCAGTTGAAAATATAGAAGTCATGCTACTTCTACAAGTTTTCAATCACACAAGGTCCATTGGCCCTAGATAAACGTTAAATTTTTTTCTGTCAAACACAGATGTTTATGCAATTGTCCTGTTGGAACTCTTGCAGCTCTTAATATTATTAACGCTGGAAGCAAAGAAGTATATCTATGGGCAATTCTATATAAATTGTATTTTGTAAATACAAAATATTATAAAGTTTAAAACTACTTCCGTGCTGTGTCATATCAAAATTTTATAACTAGCTTTATGCATTTGTTGTGAAAGATTCAGACCAAAAGCTGACAAAGGAGAAGCATTGGTCACTCTAATCTCTTTTATACTAGATGCTAAAATAATACAAGTACTACTTTCATCAGAAATAGAGTTCGTCGAAGCAATAATATAGGTTGTGCTCAGTTGAGTAGGTGAAAAGTGGGAAGGTGGAAAACTTAATAAAAATCACTTTGCACTTGCTCTGTATGAAGAAAAATGATATTCTCTTTAAGGTCTTGATCGAAAATCATGTCAACTATTATCCATTTTTCAGATACTCAACCAAGTATACCCATAATGTTTATGTTTTGGCATCATGGAAAGATAATCAAATGCGCCTCTTTTTATAAACAAAGCGAACTTGAAAAATAGGTAGTTCCAACAATGAATTTTAACATCGTCTGATGTGAACCCCGTTAGTAATTACCAATTATATGCATTTTCCACACAAGAAACCCTTTTATGACAAAAATCACACAATGAACACTGAACAGTCATATTTGATGGTAAAATTCAAGGAATGCCTTAACAAATTAGTTAATCATTCTTATAACCTGGAATAATTAATGACGAAATTGAATTGATCAATATTATATTCTTCCCTTGCATATCTCTAACATCAACATGTCACACACACATGACTACCAGCATCATATTGCAACTAAGACATGGCAGAGAATAGCATACCAATGTAAACTTATGAACTTGGAGACCTCAGTCAGCTGAACTAAAAATTTGACTCAAGTGTTTCTTTGCCTTCTTTTCCGCTTGAAATCTTTTGGACCAGCCAGACAAGTTGATGATGAATTCATCTCCTCTAAAAGTTCTGTTGCCAACTCAACCTTCCCTGTTTTATTTAAATTATGGATTAGTGATCGATATATATGTATTGAAGGAAGGATCCCCTTCAGTTTCATCTCCCTGAAGCATTTCAGTGATTCCTCAGCATTTCCTGATCGGCCAAAAATCTCAATTAATGCAGTATATGTAAGCAAATCTGGTTCAATTCCATTTTCACTCATTTCCTTAAAATACACACAGCACATATCTGATCTTCCAGCCTTCCGCAAGCCATTTATTAGAGTATTGTAAGAAACAGTATCTGGGATAAAACCAGTTTCCTTCATGGATGCAAACACATCAAGCATTTCATCCACACGGCCTATACGACCCAAAATATCTAGAACAATATTATATGTGATCAAGTCCAGACTATAGTCCTGTCTTCTAAGATGATCAAATATCTCCAAGGCCTTATCCTTCTGTCCACTTTTGGCAAAGGCAAAAATGATCCTGTTTATGAATGATGATGTACTTGAACAAGTTATCTCTGATATTTCTTTAATAAATCTCAGTATATCTGCACAATCATTTACTTTTGTGAAAGCCTTGGCAAAATAAAGGCATGAGGTTGCACTTGGGGATGTACAGGACAACAGTAATTTCTTGAAAACTTGACATGAAAGGTCAATGTCATTCTTTTGACTTGCCTCCTCTAATATGAGATTATACACATCAGGGGTAACGGCAATGTTCTTATCATTTAAAATTTGTAGCTTTTGACTAGCAGCTGAAAGATTTCCAGCCTTGCACATCTTATCAGTATATGCACAATCGACTTTCACACTGGAAGCTGGTTCATTTTCAATGATAGCAAGAAATTCCTTCAAGACTTCATCTCTCACTCTCTCTTTGTCAGGAGATGCCTCTGTTGAGAAAAGCTGAAAGCTGCCAATGAATAGCTTTTAGTGGTTTTAAAACATCCACATTCAAAAGAGATTGGTTGGGATGGGAATGGTACAGTTCAATATTGTAAAGAGATTGATCAAAATTTAGACCAAAAAACAATTTCTCAGTTAATTATTTGGACATTCTTAATAAAGAAGTTTAAATAAATGATAATCCAAGATGACTACACGAAGAGGCTGTTTATCCAAAAGACATCAACTGATGTTTTGGTGTAAAATACCAAATAATCTAACATTACAATAAGGTCATAAAGTAAGCTAAATATGGATAAGTATTTAGGTGCTAAAGCTAAAATCAAATAAGGTGCCTTGGAGTAGAACTAACTAGGCATGACCTCAAAATATGGCATAAGTCAAAATTCTTTTATACATGTCTATTATCTTAAAGAACAAGTATTTAAGAATGAGCTACGCACACTAGCACCCTATAAGCCAGGCTCAATCAAAATTAGCAAATCTATACAGCACTATTCCAAAACTCAAGCAAGACACCATGTTTGATGCTAGGCCAATCATGCTAGATCAAGTACTTCCCACTAGCCAAAAAGCTATAGCTAATAATCACGCACAACTTTTTCTACTTACGTGCATTAGCCCAAGGGTCACAGTTTGATCTAACTCCAAATCACTTAGGCCATTCAAGGGCAAGATGCTGCCCCAAAGCGAACAAATATGAGGAAACTCATGAAGTCCATGGATAAGCTTAGCCAAGACAAAAACTCTTGTAAAGTGAGTTTATCTCTAAAGTGAACAAGTAAGGATACGTTCACGCTTGATTTAATTTAAGGGTAGATACACCCTGAGAGAACATCACTTTCTGAGGATGTGAAGTGAGTTTTGTCATTTGTGTGTTCTTGCACTACTTAACATATCAAACAAGATTTTCAATACTTGGTATCTCTCACACAAGTTGCTTTTTCAGAACAAAACAAGTTCGAACTTCAATAATAAAAACAATTCATCTTACTGTTCAATCCAAAATTATCATGGCATAGCAAAAAAAAAAAAAGACAATGGTTTCATTCAAAGCATTAAGCAATTTAATCCATTTATCCATAGAATTAGAAGAAGAAAATTTAAAAATAAGAGATATTGGAGGCGTACCAAATAGCTATTGAAGCAGAAGAAGAGCGGAAGTTGAAGAGAAATCGGGACAGAGGAAGTTGTAACGGTGAAAAGCACCTTGCTGTTGCAGCACCTGACATCATCATTCATCAAACGTTTGTGTTCAGAACACAAAAAACAGCAAAAAGAAAAATACCCTCAAGTGTTAAGGTTTTCCGACTTTGTGCAGTGGGAAAAAAAATGGTAAATAAAAAGAATAACGTATCGCTGTTCTTTACTCTTTCCTGCGATAAACAAGTTAAACAAATTTTCCAATACACACAATACTGTGTAGCGCATATTTTTTTGAAGAAAAAATAAAAATAAAAAATTACGGCACGCATAACGAATCTTTATAAGATTACACAATTACTTTTCCTACCCCGTAACTCTTATAAAACCCTATATTTCATCTTAGTTTAGGGATAAAATATCGCGGGAGATAAAATATCAGGGAGAATATATTTATTATCAGAGAAATGATATTGTAACAATCAAGTTGTGTTATTATTATGTTACTTCCAATCAATTTTACCGTTAGATCGATTATGTTGATTCAACAGTTATATTTATTTTCATCTTTATACATTTTTTAAATTTAATATTTTATATTTATTTTCACCTTTATATGGTTATAATTTCTAGTATTTAATACTTTCCTAAAATATTAAATTTAAGAAATCATACCATACAAAGATAAAAATAAATATAACCGTTGTATCAACATAATCAATCTAACGAATAAATTAATTTGTAATATTAATTGGTAATATGACACTAACACAATTGCATTGTTAGAATATCCTTCCGCTGCTTATATTCCGTATATAATTAATCTTCATCTTCATATTTATAAAAGAAAAAATTTATATGAAATCTGTGGTAGATTTGTACAAAAAAATAATCACATTGAAAAAATGAAGGGAGCGGGATTCTCGTGCATTGTTCAAACCTGTGTTGTGCATCGGAGAAACCTCTGTGATTTTCGTGTCAGCAGTGATCGAAACCACTGAATTTGTTACTCTCTCATTGGGAAAAAGCCTTCAACACTTTCAACAGTCAAGTAAGCTCTTTTTCGAAACTCATATGAATTTTATTTATTTTCTTAATTATTTCCAATTAATGATTTTAATTTTTTATTTTCATCAAAAAATTGAAATTGATAGATGGATCAAGGGAGGAAGGTGTTCACAGTGGACCTTCTGCAAGAATATGCTGGTAAAGGGCGTGGAGTTATCACATGCGTGGCTGCTGGAAACGATGTCATTGCCATTGGAACCAGCAGAGGATGGGTCATCAGGCATGATTTTGGGGTTGGCGATCCACATGGTAAAGTTTCAATTTTTCGTATTAATACTCCTTGGATACACATTTTTTAATTGATTTTTAAGCTTGCTGTGTTTTCTTGGTAGTGGAAAGGAATTGACATTTGGCACCCTATTCATATGGGTATCTCAAGTTTATTAATTTTTACTTTTTTGGGTATCTAAATTTGTGATTGAATGTAGATATAGAGTAGGGGCTTGTTGTTTCAATGATTTTTATCATTATTATTATTTTTGTTGATAATGGTGTGGTTGATCTTATTCTGGAATATGGAGTTGGTCTTGTGTTTTGATATCATGCTTGTTAAATTGGGTTGATGAGAGTCTAATACCTTGTTGTCTGTTTGGAGTACAGAGATTGATCTCTCTGTGGGTCGTACTGGGGAACAATCAATCCACAGGGTTTTTGTTGATCCAGGAGGGAGTCACTGTATTGCCACTGTTGTTGGTCCTGGGGGAGCTGAAACTTTCTATACTCATGCGAAATGGACCAAGCCACGTGTTTTGAGCAAGCTGAAAGGTCTTGTTGTGAATGCTGTTGCATGGAACAGGCAGCAGATAACTGGAGGTAGTTAGTTAATCACTTTTTTGACTGATGTCTATTTTTTGATGATTTATGTAACAAAAGACTTTCACATATTCATTTCTGCTTGAGGTTCTGATTAAACTTTTTTAATTGCAGTTTCCACAAAGGAAGTCATTCTTGGTACAGAAAATGGTCAACTTCATGAACTGGCTGTGGATGAGAAGGACAAGAAGGAGAAGTATATCAAGTTTCTCTTTGAATTAACAGAGCTTCCGGAAGCTTTTATGGGTTTGCAGGTATATCTTCTGTCTGTTTACTGTTCTAGGTACTTTTATTTCAGGATATTGTCTATGGTTTCATCCCATTTTTCACTGAATTCAAGCTAGAGACTTTTTTTTCTTGGTCCCAAATGTGACTATGGTATTCAATTTCTGGTTCTTGTCCTTTCTGCTCAGATGGAAACGGCTAGTATAATTAATGGGACTAGATATTATGTGATGGCTGTTACTCCTACAAGGCTTTACTCTTTCACTGGCTTTGGATCATTGGAAGTAAGTCAAATACTATAAATTTCCATACTTTTGGTTTATTTTTTCTCTTTATGTTTTAGTATTGGAGTAACCCATCTGTATTACCATTTTAAGAATTAAAAAAAATGTAATATAATATTTATGAACAGGTGATTATTGTTATATTGCGTGTATGTGCTAACAAATAATGTCTTATTCTATTACATTATTAAAGATTTATCTTGGGCTTAATCCTTTTTCATTAGACACTCCATTATATTTCAAAGTTTAATTTGTGCTGATCATTATACAAATGTAGACTGTTTTTTCAAGTTATTTAGATCGTACGGTGCATTTCATGGAACTTCCTGGCGAAATACTAAACAGGCAAGTAGTATTATTTTTTAATTATTAGATTTATGTCGTTGGAACATTCAACATAAAATCTAAGAGATCTAGAGACTGAAATTCCTTTGTTATTTACAGTATTTCACATTTATCGTGTGTGTCTGACCTGTCCCTTATGAGACTTCATTGCATGGTTATCTTTCAGTGAGTTGCATTTCTTCATTAAGCAACGAAGAGCTGTACATTTTGCATGGCTTTCTGGAGCTGGTATCTACCACGGTGGCTTAAATTTTGGAGGACAACATAGGTAGAGTAGAGAATGACTTGACTTTGTTATCTGTTTCATCAGCAGTGGTCCAGTGGATATTGATTCAGAATATACTCATTATGTGTTTCATGTTTCTGCAAATCTTATTTAAAAACATGCTATTTATGCTTGCTCAGTGTGGTTCGTAATGTTGTTTTCAGTGAAATCCTATCATATTGCTCAGTGGATATTTATGCTTATTCACCTTTCTCTCAATTTTTTTAATAACTTGACAGCTCTTCAAGTGGAAATGAAAATTTTATAGAGAACAAGGCTCTTTTGGGCTACTCCAAATTGTCTGAAGGAGCTGAAGTAGTTAAACCAAGTTCGATGGCGTTGTCTGAATTCCATTTCTTGTTGCTTTTAGGGAATAAGGTCAAGGTGTGTATGTACTTATTAAGTTATTATCATTATTTTGTTTGCATCAAAGTGCCCATGCCATGCACAATCTCTGTTTTAAGAGTCAATGTAAAAACAGGGCAAACCCTAGTGTACAAAGGTTCCCTAACTCTGTAAGGGTAGAGTTGAGAGTCGATTGTATGCAGTCTTACCTCTACATTTTTGCAAAAAGATTGTTTCCTAAACTCGAACACGTGACCTTCTATTTGTAAAGAAGCAACCTTACCAATTGCTCCAAGACTCGCCTTCTTTTAATAAAGAGTCTATCTGTCTATGTATGCTTGCTAAATTATTTGAACATTTGTAGGTTGTAAACAGAATTAGCGAGAACATCATAGAGGAACTTGAGTTTGTCCAAACTTCAGATTCAACATCAAAGGGTATTATTGGATTGTGTAGTGATGCCACGGCTGGTTTATTCTATGCATATGATCAAAACTCCATCTTTCAGGTTTGTGTTATCTGACTGCTGCAGCCTTCTGTATTTTAGATCTAACTTGTTTGGTTGTAATCGATTCTGCTGCTGTATTTGATAATTTAGTAGGTGTCTGTCAATGATGAAGGTAGAGATATGTGGAAAGTATATCTTGACATGAAAGAATATGCTGCTGCTTTAGCAAATTGTCGCGACCCTTTTCAAAGGGACCAAGTACATTTAGTGCAGGTACTGTTCATTTGCTTTTACCGTGACTGAGAAACTGTTCATTTGCTTTTACCGTGACTGAGAAATGGTTTGTCCGGCTACATAAATTCATGGAATTTTTTTTATCACAAGATTGTAGTTTGGTGTTTGATTGGTATAATTTGTGGTGCAGGCTGAAGCTGCATTTTCCTCTAAAGATTATTTTAGAGCTGCCTCTTTCTATGCCAAAGTAAAATCTCTTTTTAAGTTAACTATTTTGGTGTATTTAGTTTGTTATATTAATGCAAGAATTGCCTTTGCTTTTGGGACAATTGGTTACTTAAAAGTAAATGTGCTGCCTCTTTGGATTTTCACCATATTTAGCAGCGGACTTGCCTCTCATTACAACAAACTTTTAAGACTACCAAGTCATGGTCCAATTATACTGAAAATTGGCCTAATGTGACTGTTTAGATATTGTAATACATCTTTTACCAATGAATCTTCTTCAAACAGGTAGAGATCCATATATGGAAGTTTAAAAATGCCATGTTTTTTTCAATTATGTAAGATCACATCCTCAAGATAGGCCACTGGATATCTTATACAACAGCTGTTTATAAATATGAACTTTGGAGGTTGGGAATTTTTTTACGGCATCATCTTTACATACACTGCACAACTCTATGATTTGGGTGATAAGTCTGATGGGAATATGATTTGCAGATCAATTATATTTTATCATTCGAGGAGGTCACTTTGAAGTTCATAAGTGCTGGCGAACAGGTATTTTTCATGTTGATGGTCTTTTCAGCTATATGAAACTAAAGAGATAGCCCTTTTTCTTCCTTAAATAAGAATTATATGGCTGCAGTATTTTTTCAGTTTGTAAGTTTAATAAATGGTAAATTTGTATTAAGTCATGGTGGTATTTCTTATTTGCAAAACTTTGCTGTTATTGCTTTCCCATGTCATACAAACTGATTTGAATTGGTTTATTCTTGAAATTGTTTTTAGACTTCCTGGATTTGGAATTTGGCTCATGCATATGCAAATTCACTGGTTTCTCTTCTTATTTTGCAGGATGCACTGAGAACTTTCTTATTACGGAAGCTGGATAATTTAGAAAAGGACGATAAATG